TATGGCACTGAAAGAAACTCCTTTAAGTGGCCTTGAGGAAGCCGCCTCCTCCACGCGACTTCCGTATTGTGTATAAACAAATTCCATCAGGTATTTCTGCCGATTAGTACAAGTAATATAATTATATTTCAGTATTATAGTAAAACTAGGTGAAACCCGTCGAAATCGACGGTTACTTTCAAGGCTTAAAATAGTATTAAAATCGTATTGGTGGATCTTTTCTAGTTAAACACTTCCGTGATTTCATCAGTGTAATATGATTTTATTACAAATGAAAATATTTTTTGGGAAGACATAATTCTAACTTTAAAGGGAGGTAGCCTATATCCGTTACAGTGTAAGATTGATTTTTCCTTCGTCACGTCACGTCAGTCCATATCGTACTTCTGTGCCAATGAATGAACCCTCTAATATAGTTTTGAGAAATTTATTGAGGGTTTACTCGTAAAGCTGGAATTCCTTGACATGGGGGATGTCAGTTAGTTGTCTCAGCCTTATCAATAACATAAAGTTGTCAATATAATCTCTCTACGGAATGTTAGGTGTATTGGAATACTTGAAGTGAAGTTGGCTTTTATTCTTGAACTGTTAAGGGGCCTCCTAGTTCATATGGTCTTGCGGCTTCATTGGCAACAAATAACGCAAATGACATAGCAATGGGACATTTCCAAAAAGCAAAAATACTGTAAATTGGCTTTTACGTATATATTGAAGTTTACATATTAATAATCAATGTATCTTATAAAGGATTATGTGATCTAGTTTAAAAGGAATATGACGTTTCTGTCATGACAGTAAAGCTGCTTAAATAGTATTTTCTCTTTGTACCATATTTTACAGCCAAAATTTCGTGTTATTTTCAATAATGTTACAAACCCAGTCCGCCAAAGTTCGTAATATAGGCAGGTGCAAATAATTTGTTAAGATGGGTGCCATTTTAGGCAAGGTTTCTATGTTTGGATTTTATTAGACACGATAAAGAGCAGTATTTCTACATAAATATTTGATATGTGTAGAATAATATGATAAAATGTAGGCAAAAGTGGCGAAAAAGGCAGACACCAACCCGTACAATAGATATAAAATAATTCAATAAGAAATAATTTAAGAATTGGTGTGATAAAAGGATTTTCCACTGATTTCGTAATGGAACGTTATATTGCAAAACATGACATGATTAAGAAGAAAATCAATTTTAAAATCAGAAAATAACATTGCAAATACTTATTTTGTAGAATCTTTGACTATTAATATTATATATAGTCAATGGTAGAATTCAGTAACTCCCAATAAATGTGTGTTGTTTGAAATACAATTTTCAAATGAACAGCTGTTTCATTAAAAAGTATTATTCACATGGCCAAAATGTGTCTCTTTGGAGAGATCTTTAATGGCTTCTAGGGCAGAGTTCTAAGGGATTTTGCTTAGTTTTTCTTTTGATAAATGGTCTACAGACCAAGACCTTTCTTTTGACACCTCTACCAAGTTCCTACGCCCAGCCGTTCTCTCAAATTAGTGGTGACAAAGTTGCCAATTATATATTTAGATTCCCCCATGTTAATCTTATGGGAAAAACTCCAACTTTGATGGCCTGTGGAGCAAAGCCCGAGGATTTTTATTACAGGAATTGATGAAAGGGGGCATCTACACAACAAATACTCTATTTTGACACGTCGTTTGTAAAAATCCGTCCATTATTAACGGAGGAGTAGTGTTTTGTAGAAATCGCCTTCACGTATTATATATATATAAGGATAATAAGAATAAACTGTTTATTTAGTAGCCTATAATTTATGCTTAGTAGACCGTACTATTAAATATCACATACCTGGAAGAGTAACCAGAATTCTGACAAGATTTGTTATCGTAGGAAACATATTGCTGTCACAGACATCCAACACTTTCATTACATCTTAAGTCAGCTTAACATTTTTCTCCTCCTGTGACTTTTACTGAGTTCCATAGTTCGCCTTCGAAGCAAATCATGTTCGTTTTATTTTCCCCACTGCCAACTATGGAAGAAAACTTATTAAATCCTCTTTTCGACTGATTAAGTAGATTTCGATTTTGTTCACTTTGTGTTCCAACCAGAATAGTGGGAATGATCCCTCTTAGACATTTCAGGGAACTCTTAGTCTTGATGATAGGTCATTTGAAACATTGTCCAGTAGAGGTATGTAAATGGACCGGGTTCCTGGATGGTTTGCGCTTTTCGTTTGCTTGCTGGCAAGTCGTGCTAACCTTTACTTCAACATCTGTGGCTTGCTCTGTAAATGCAACAAACACCGTGCTGAAGTTTGTTTCAAGCTGTGACCGTTTCGCTTGTATTGTAGCCAGTGTGTTTAGCTGCAGCATGTGATGCCATATTGGAGTCCAGGGATGGTGTTTGGAGTAGTCTATTAAGGGTTATGTGATTTTCAAGATGCAATCAATGCCAGCATTGATATCAAAAGCTCAGAGGTGTGTAACAAGTTCAGCAAAGTTGATGCAGTAGTAAATGTCATATGTTTGTTGTTCTTTAATATTTATTTAGTTATTATTAAGATCATCTGGAGATTGTTTTAGTTTTGTATTTACAAATAATTCAGTTGGTAACATTTTATTCCTAAAATAAAATTGTTAATCAATATAAAACTTCTTTATTTGACATGGTGGCAGCGGTTTAGTTTTTTAAAATGCCAAAAAACAATAGATTATCAATCAGAGGAAACAAATCAAATCAATCATCAGAAACACATACTGTTCTAGAACCAAGACAGCAGCAAAATAGGACTACATCAGTCATGTTTCAACCTCCTGAACCTTTTGATTCCAAATATCCAGAGTTATGGGAAAAGTGGTTTAAGCGATTTGAAAGGTATAGAATTGCATCAGGACTGGACAATGAACCTCAAGTAAAACAAGTAAGCTGCTTGATTTACTGTATGGGGCCTGATTCTGAGGACATCTTATCAACAGCACACCTCTCAGAAGATGACAAAGCCTCATATGAATCTGTAACAGAAGCCTTTGATAACATATTTACTGGTAAAAGAAATGTCATATACGAACGAGCAAAGTTCAATTCAAGATCACAACAACCAGATGAATTATTTGATACATTTCTGGCAGACATAAGCTCAATGGCCGAACACTGTTCATTCAAGAACCTTAAAGCAGAACTAATACGTGATAGAATTGTAGTGGGTATAACTGACAAACGTTTATCGGCCCAATTACAAGAAGATTCAAATCTTACATTGGAAAAAGCAGTCCAAAAATGCAAACAAAAAGAGTCTATCAGCAAACAAGCAGCTGAACTAGAAATGATATGCCAAGGAAAACATGCAGAAGTTGACCGAATCAAATCAGACCAAAAACAAAGTGCAAGATTTAACAAAACCCATGATTTAAAGACAACTAGGAAAGAATGTTGTTGGAACTGTGGAGGTCCAATGCACCCCAGGCACTTATGCCCTGCTAAAGATTTAGCATGCCATTACTGCCAAAAAATCGGCCATTTTGCCAAACATTGCAGAAGCAGATTATTAGAGACTAAAACAACGGGCAACACGAAAGGACTTAACGAAATAAGACGTTTGGACAAGCCTGACAACACTGAAGCTTCAGTAGCATATTTAGGACCTGTGAATGCTTCATGCTATGACTCCAGTTCTTGGTATGTAGAAATATTTATCAATAATCAGTTAGTTAAAGCAAAACTTGATTCAGGTGCAGAAGTTACAGCCATTCCTTCAAATGTAATTCATGCAAAACTTATGAAATCTGACCGTATACATAGGAATGCTGATCAGAGGGAACTAGATGTAAGAGGTATGTTTATAGCAGACATAGCTTACGATGGGAAAATGGTGAAAGAAAAGGTGTATGTTGTTGCAGGATTAAACGAACCTTTACTTGGAATTCCTGCGATTAAATCTTTAAATCTCATAACCCTCAGAAAACCTGATACTGCAGGACTTAACTCAATTACCTTAGACTCTGTATTAACTAGCCACCCTGAGCTTTTCATTGGTCTGGGTAGCATTCCAGGAGAATATAAGATAGAATTGAACGAAAACGCTCAACCGTACTCGGTTCGAGCTCCAAGAAACATATCAATTCCTTTACGTTCAAAAGTGGAGACAGAATTGAACAGAATGTTGGACTTAGGAGTGATAGAAAAAGTAGAGTCTCCAACTGACTGGTGTGCACCAATAGTACCAGTACTCAAGCCCAATGGTAGTCTACGTTTGTGTGTCGATTACACTGAACTTAATAGGAATGTTAAACGGCCAAAGATAATACTACCAGATGTAGAAGAAACACTAGGACAAATTGGACGCTCTAAAATATTTTCAAAACTAGATGCCCAGTCAGGGTTTTGGCAGATAAAAATATCACCTGACACAGCTAAACTAACTTCTTTTATTACTCCATTTGGAAGATTTTATTTCCAGAGATTACCCTTTGGCATTACAAGCGCACCAGAGTTTTTCACTACACAGATGTTTAAACTTTTAAATGGTATCGATGGGGTATTATGTCACATGGATGACATACTTATACATGGCCGAACACAAGAGGAACATGATTACCGGCTCACTCAAGTATTAGATCGCTTAAAAAAAGCAAAGGTTGTACTGAACAAAGAAAAATGTTCTATTTCCCAGACATCTGTGAAGTTTCTTGGAAACCTGATCGACTGTGATGGTATCAAGGTCGATCCTGATCGTATACGAGCACTCGAGGAACTTCCCCCTCCTAAAGATATTGCGGGAGTTCGACGATTAAATGGTATGTTGAATCAACTGAACAAGTTCATTCCAAACTTGGCTGATTAAACTGAATCATTCCGTGAGCTTACTAGAAAGAATAGACAATTTTGTTGGACAAGTCAACATCAAGAAGCCCTTTCAGACATTATACAGGCCGTCAATGAATCAATATCTTTAACTAAGTATGATGTAAATGCTGAAGCTATTGTTATAGCCGATTCATCAGCATATGGATTGGGTGCAATGTTACTTCAGGTTGAAGATAAATCTCCCAAAGTAGTGATGTTTGCTTCAAGGACCTTACAGGACTGTGAAAGACGATATGCCCAGATAGAAAAGGAAGCTCTTGCATGTGCATGGGCCGCAGAAAAGTTTTCTAAGTTTTTAGTTGGAAAAAAAATTAGAATCCTAACAGACCACAAACCATTAGTTTCGCTCCTTGGAAGCAAAGACCTAGACACAATACCAGCTAGGATTCAGAGATTCAAAATGCGATTGATGAAATTTGACTACTCCATCGAACACATTCCCGGAAAAGAAATGTTTACAGCAGACACATTAAGCCGAGCGCCGATCCCAGATTCTACAGATGAGTTCACAAAAGAGGTAGAGGCACACATTAAGGTAATATCTTTAAACTTTCCAGCAACACAGTCAAGATTGGAACAAATAAAGAATGCCCAGATCCTGTGTGAAGAATGTCAGATGTTGGTGAAATACACAGAAAATGGATGGCCTAAATATAAGAAGGATGTGCCAGAGAGTATGAGAAAGTGGTATACCTTTAAAGACGACCTATCTATAATAGAAGACTTGATATGTTATAAAGAAAGAATTATTATCCCATTTGAACTTAGAAAAGATATCATGAATAAACTGCACGATGGTCATTTCGGGTCTACACGCACAGTCCTCCGAGCAAAACAATCTGTGTTTTGGCCAGGAATTACAACAGAGATACATAACTTGATTGAAAATTGTGACACTTGTGCTAAACACCAAAACCAAAAGTCAGAAAAAATGATTCAATCAGACACTCCTGACTATCCATGGCAAAGAATAGCAGTTGATTACTTTGACTTTGTGAAAGGCAAATACTTGGCTGTTGTGGACTATTATTCACGGTACTTGGAAATGATAAATGTGTCCACAATGACTGTAGATGAACTAATCAAGAAGATGAAAGCCTGTTTTGCTCGACATGGGATCCCTGAAATCGTAATTTCTGATTCTGGCTCACAGTTTACAAGCTCAGAATGGAGAGCCTTTGCAGCCGATTTTGGGTTTAAAACTATTTGTTGTAGTCCCTTACACCATCAGGCAAACGGTGAAGCTGAAAGAGCAGTCCAAACGCTTAAAAAGATGCTTACAAAGAACAAAGACCCCACTCTTGCATTACTGGAGTACAGGTCAACACCAGGTCCATCAGGGTACAGCCCTTCGGAATTGTTGATGGGAAGAAGACTAAGAACACGACTACCGTCATTGACGAAAGATCTCAAGCCTAAAATGGTAGATCACAAGACATTTAGAGAATTGGACAAACTATATAGAACAACTCAAGCAGATTACTTCAATAAACGGCATAGGGTGAGAGATGAAAAGCAATTCACTATTGGGTGCAACGTGTATATTCCAGATAGGAGAGAAGATGGGAAGATAGTTAATAAGGTAGCTCCAAGATCATACACAGTTAAGACAAACGAAGGCATGTTACGTCGCAATGGGGTAATGCTAAGACAACTACAACCCAAAACATCTGATGACCCTGGAACTGAGCCTAATTGTTTTTCCTCATTTGGTAGACAAATAAATCCACCAAGAAGAACATGTCTTTAAAAAAAGGGAAGAGAAGATGTCATATGTTTGTTGTTCTTTAATATTTATTTAGTTATTATTAAGATCATCTGGAGATTGTTTTAGTTTTGTATTTACAAATAATTCAGTTGGTAACATTTTATTCCTAAAATAAAATTGTTAATCAATATAAAACTTCTTTATTTGACAGTAAATGACTTCGAATCTTTTCATATAGTTATCAATGTTAATGCTTCTACAATAATAGTAAGTGCAGCTCTAAGTGTGATGACGCTTTCGTGGCGTTCCACCCATCAAGTTTCACACAGGCTTGATTGTTAGTATCCTCAACCAACATAAAAAAAACCAAGCATACACAAATCCGTAATACCATACATTACGGTATGAACGGTTACTGTTTATGGGGTTTTCACTTTAGGTAAGTTATTAAGTTTTACCTTCAAAACTTGATTTCTTCTGGCAGACATATTAAAAAAATACAAAACTGTCTTCATCTTTCACTGAGGTTGAAATAAAGTCATTCAACACTAGGTCTGGGCAGGGACATCGACATGCATTCTTCATAACTTTCTGCATTTCAGTTACAGCACCTATATTTATTGATTCAGATGACATGACACTACAACTGTCCGTGACGACTCCTACACATTTGTTTAAACCTAAGGGACAATTAATCTAAGGCCTCACCAGTTACAAGTTGTTCACTGTTAAGTTCTTGATCAGGAATTATAGCTGAATGTTTTTAATATGCATTAATAAATTCGACGGAATCTTCTCTTATTTAATTTTTGTGTAAGAATCGTAGGTGCAAGAAAAGTTGTTCTGTGCGAAAAATATCTTTTGTCTCGTCAAATATAACGGACTAATACTTAGAGTTTTTGACTTAATTCAATGTGGTATCAGTTATTTCTTCCCCACAGCAGATAATGAGTTCATTTTGTGTCTTATTGTCTTGTTGACAAGTGCCTTTTTAGATTTTCGTGCCCTGAAGACACTTTGAAACGTAGCAATGCCCTAAAACCACTCTCGTTGCTAAACCCAGTCGTCTCGTGTAAACAGCCATTGTCTCGATGACCCCTAAGGGTATGTTCTGCAGGCACAATAATACTATTGATTATATATGTCGAAGTCGTTCCCAGTTTTCTTTAACCGTATGTAATCATACATTGGGTACCCACCTGATTTCGAATAGATTTCTGTGGATTGTAATAGATTTGAAGAAAGTCAATGCCTGCTGAAACTCTTGACTTAGGATACGAAATATCTTCATTGGACTGTAAATACCTCTGCTTTCCTAAAAGCTTGGCGTAAGTAGCCAAAGGCTGAGTGACAAGGTCTTGTGCTATCATACCTTAAAGGTTGTGGCCACACCTTTATTGGCAAAAAAGCAAACAAAACTTACAACATCTTCCCCTTTCCTCGTGAGAATAAACTATAAAACTATAAATACCTCCTTTGATGGAAATGGTGGTGTCCCAGTTAATGTTTCAAGTAAATGTCTCAGATAATGTGTTGGTGGATTTTCTTGGCCTTCCTTTGTGTGCACAGAATGTTATAGTATGATTTCGGACCCAAGGCTTTTTCAACAGTTAACTCTTTGTATAGTCGTCGATATTTTTATTTACAAATAATCATATGTCATTGGAGAAAATACTGTCTTTGCTAGGTGACTCAATCAGGGACGAACTGTCATTTGCTTTCATTTAACATGAATTGCTTTCATTGAAACATTGATACTGCTGCTGTCAATGTCTGCGGTAAACACCTTTAACGACCATGTCAAATGTAGCGGTATTCTCTAGCCCCATTTAGTCATGCAAATTGCGGTTTTTTCCTTCTCTAAGCTATTAAGCAAAATTTCGTCAGCTTATTAAATTTTTACCTAAAAAACTAATATAGATTTGTAGTGGCGACTAAGTATGATTATACGCTTTTCCAACACTTTAAATAACGTAAAGTAAAATTTTCAGTCATTCTAATTAAGAAAATTTTTGTTTGTGATTTGTAAAATATGTATGAGTGTAATAATATACATATCATTACAACTACATAAATGTATATCTCTGGTTAAAAATGTTCAAAGACTGTCCCAGATTATTAGGATTTAATATTACTTTTTAACTATATTGATAATGTAGTGGTGATTAAGTATAATATTAAATTGTAATAATCATCAACATCAATATTCAACATTAGGTCAATTAGGCCTACACGAAATGTCTTCTATTTGTTTTTATCCAATATAAAAAGTCTACAATCATTACTATTATCAAATGTTTGTGTTTTAAGCAGTTAAATGAACTGACCGTCTTTTTGAGAACCCTGGTTGTAGTTTTAAGACCTATTTAATTTCTATAGTGTATTAATAATACAATCACTTTAGAACTAATAGAATTAATACTAAAGCTGGGATCCTCTTAAAAATAGTTACTCATATTTTTATAATCCAACTTCAATGTTTTGAGTTGTGTTAATTTTTTATATGGTATTTGTGAAGTAGATGTTGGATGTAAGTCACTAAAAGATTTTAGTGAATCATTCTTTTTGAAAAGACGCTCATTGAATTAAGGATGCGGTTTATTTAAATAAAGGGGGCGTTTCAACAGACGTGTGCGTGGAAGTAACCTTGTGCATTGCACAGAACATGCATTTACCTTGGCATGTGCTGAAATGCCTGTTCGAGGAACGGAGTACTAAACATCCAATAGCTATCCACAATCTTTGAATTCATATGCAGCCCAATGTGCTACGTACATTACCGATTATTGTTATCTCAAGCGACAGATATTTTGATTCTTCATAGCTTTGACCCGATTGTGTAACACTTATAGTTCGCCAAATTATTACTGTGAGTAGGCCTAAGTATATTTTCATAGTGAACCAAATACGTTTTTTACCCAATGCACTTTTATCGATTTTAATACAATAACTGCTTTGTTTCTCGTTCTGATATACGAAAATTAGTTAAGATCTTTTTTATTATTATTTACAAAATTCTTCAAAATATATGATTTATTGTATATTCAGCCTGAAGCCTAAGTTTTAATCTGTTAATTTAAGGTGTGAGTTCCTAATAATTAATTTATGATTTAGTGTGCTTAAAGGTTTAAAGAGCGATAATAATATATAAATATACTAAATAATTTTTTTTTCAGTTGTACATAAACACCACAAATATTATAAAGGATTTTAAAACTAAGTGGTTATATAACTATGGGCTTTAATCTCCCTAAAAGTATCCAGTAAGTATCTAATTTTGATGTAAAGATAGACAAGCATACGTTAAAATTCAAGTATTACGTAACTAATACATATTACATCAGGCGAACAAACTTAGGCTTTAATTACTCAAACATTTAGAGTAATGTCTAATGCATGAGGAACATTGCCTTTATATCTGCCAGAACTGAACAAAACCTAGTTCTAGTTTTATATTTTTGTCATGATCAAATATTAATTATTTGAGCTTAAATTTGTAATTGGAAATATGTAAATCCTCCGATAAGCTAAACTTGAGACGTTATATTAGACTAAATCAGATTTACCCAAACCTCGAACGCAAATCGGTAACTCTTCTTATTTTGGAATTTATTAACTCGGTATATTTTTTTGTTGCCAAACAGTTAACAAAATGTTTCGATGTGGAAATGTGACATTTTCCCCAAAAATCACGGAACCATTATTTTATCCATGAAATACACGACAAGAACTTCATATTCCATCAATAGGTTATGACTTTGAAATAGTCTGTGTATTGCTTTAACCAAATAGTAAAAAAAAAAACAATAATCACATTATGAATTGGAAATATAAAGAAGGAAAAACAGTATTTTAAGTTATTTTGTAACCAACTTTTGTTATCAATCAATTGCATAGAAGATCGCTTCTAAAACGTTATGCCGTTCTAAACGTTATTTTAATCATCGTTTCAGGGGACATGGATTATCACTTTTAAATTGGCCAATTCATTATTGGTTAACTCACATAAAAAAATAAAAGGGCTTTAAGAAGGTACGAAAGTTGGCGAATTCTATACAGTAACAGACATTACACCTGAATTATTTAAAGAGTAACAAACCTTAGTAAAAAGCTGAGTTTTTACTTACATAACGGTTGAAACATTGTCAGTATATGATTGATAGCGACATAAACCATCAGGTTAATATCGTTTACAGCGGTGGGACTCATAAACTGTCACTGGTCATATTTACACTTCCAAACAGTTACCAGAATACACCTGTGACAGAGACACACTACACTGCAGTCTGACAGGTGTGTTGCAGGAATTTGAATTTAGAACTATCAAATGGAACATACATTTTCACCTTAAGCAAAAATCGCAATTTTTACCTTCGCGCAACGTTTAAAAAAATATACACAAAAATATATACATATAAATTCATTTTTGGGAAATTATGACAACTCTGGAAAATTATGAAATATATAAAGCAACGAAAATTCGCCCTTATGATTTATTAAATAATAAAAGCTTGTTCCAGTCCAATATATTATTTGAAACATTAATAGGATTAGACAGAGCCAGAAATGAATGATAAAAGAAGCCGGGGGGACAAAGTTCAACTACTAGGACAAGATAACCTCCAGTCGAGACTCTACACTTGAAACGCATGCATTGGTCCACTTTTGTCTCTCGTTTTTAATTAGTAGCCCTACTGTAAATAGTTTTACGCCACACTACATTATTTTGACGAACTTCCCACGAAAGGATTTAGTCCAGAAAACAGCTGTTTGCCGCCAGCTTATTCAAATGGTGTTTCATTGCGTACTACTGTACTGTAATGAATTTTGCCGGACACCAATCAGCTGATTATACTATATTTAGGTGGCAATGAATTGTTATAAACAAAAACATAACCTCTCTTATAGAGGTTATGACTAGTGATTTTTAGCCCTTTAGTTGGTGAACAAATATTAGGATTTGTACAGATTTAGTAGTATGGCGTAAACTATCGTACGTAACTC